CTGTATTTTGTTCTTGGTGTTTCCCAAGGGTCTGAAATTGGGACTAGTATATGGTAAACAGTCAATAAGTATTTGTAGCACAAATGAAAGAATGGTTTTATCAATAAGGAAGCCAAGATTGAGCAAGGCCAAAGGATTTCCCCAAAGGCACAGTATAAAAGTAACCTTTAGTCACCTGTCTCAGTTGTTGTCTCCGAGGCTCACTGCCCATCTGCTAACCTAGGCCTAGTCCTGGAAGCTTCTAGCCTCTGTACAATCTAACCTAGGCCTGGAATGTTTTCAGCCTCCGAGACTCACTGCCAAATGAGCTCACCCTTACTTGAAGCAGCTCCAGGAAGGCTGGTTCAAACTCCTCTCCTAGCTGACTTACTCAATCTGGCTTCTCTCCTGGCCTCTGAAATGCTCTGCTTGGCCTCACACTAGCTCCAGCAATCTGCTCTAATCTCCTGGCTCCTTCCCACTCTGTCTTCATCTGAGTCCTCTGCAATGTGTCTATTGCTGTCCTTTAAGCAGCTTCCCTTTCCTCTCTCTTCTCAGGAGACTTGGGCGTATTCTATTCTGTCAAGTCTTCCTCTGTTTCAGCTTCCCTTTCCTCTCTCTTCTCAGGAGACTTGGGCGTATTCTATTCTGTCAAGTCTTCCTCTGTTTCTGCCACTCAGTCAGGCCTCACTTTCAAACACTGGTGCTTCCTCTGTGAACTGTCTTTCCCTTCACTGTTTGGGGTCGAGGCATGCACCACCCCCCCCCGGACCTAAGCTTTTCTCTACCTGACACTCATTTGCTTGTCTCTGTCTCCTGGATTAAAGGCATGTTTGTGTTCCAGCTGGAATCCACAGACCTAGAAGGTCTCTGGATGTGTTCTCATGCCAGAGCAGCCTTGTTCTGAGTTAACCTTCCTCTACAGCACAGGGACTGGAGAAATGTTCAGAGTCCATACCCCATACAAAGCCACTCTGCGTCCCGATGGGCTTGATGCTGAGCCCGAGTGTCTTCTCTGAGGTGCTTGTGGGTCAGATGGGCCCAGAGGTGCTCCCACCCAGCTTTTCTGCGTGACATTGCTAAGTGCCTAATGGCGAGGCCGTCATGGGGGTTCTGAGGAAGGCCAGGTGTCAGCCTCTACCACAGTTCTGAGAAGCCAGCCCCTGCTGGGGATGTTGACAGGCTGCTGTTTGAAAAGGTGCCTCAGTCAGTGTCCTTGGGGAAAGCAGGCCATTAACCTGAGTCTCAAAATATGCACTGTCCCCAGGATGAGGCTGCATGGGAGCAGCGGGAGAAAGCTTGTGTGGAGGTAGACCAGACAAGCTCCTGGCCCAGCTCCGGCTGCTGCAGGTTCCGTTCTCCCCGGGAGACTGCCTCTGTGCAGCTAATTACGACCAGTAAAGGAAATGAGAAGCGTGTGGTAATGAACTGATTTTTTTTTCTCTTCCCCCAGGTGCTGTCTTTGCAGAGAACCGATCCTTTGGATTTAGAGCCCTGGGGCCTGGCAAGACCTACGGAGCCCAGCTGAATACGCACATTCTACCATCAGGTCACGGCTAGAAGAGCATGCGCACCAGCAGTGGGGTGTGGGGTGTGTGTGTGGGATGAGACTCCCGTGAGAGACGCCACAGCACTGCTACCCCAGACAACCGGCATTTGGACAGCGTCCTGCAGTCCAAAAAGGCTTCTGTAGACCTCTGCCCACTGAGTCCTCACAGCTTGTTATGGATAGGGGCAGGTAGCTCGGACAATCATGAGATTCTCCTGTCATGTATCACCCAGCTATACACACACTGTTTAGCTTCTTACCTAGACCTCCTTCTGGAGTTCACACTTCTTGAGCCCCTGGGCAATTACTGACATTTCCCAGATGTCTTTAAGATAGGCACAAAGGACGGAAATGACAGATGCCTATTTTACTCTCCTTTAGTCTGAAAAGACTAGCATGAACTGAGGTTTCAGATTCCAAAACTAAGCAGTTTCAACAGGATGGAGACTATCAGCAATCTGTTTAACATAGGAAAAGAGAAAGATGCACAGACGTCCTTTTCTTGAGAAAAAAATGGTGGGAGCAGGATTTTAACATTGTGTTAATAAGGATAGGAGAAACTGGCTTATAATAACAACCACAAAACATCAGCATCCTGGAATCTAGGGCTCTGAGGCGTGGAGCCCTCTTCAGCACACACAAGGCCTTTGATTTGACTTCCAGACAACTCCAAATCAGTATCTTGGCAAAGTGAAGATTCATTTCCCCCTCAATACCCATCTTTCATCATGAATTGACAAGAGCTCCACTTTACAGAATCACTCAGGGGCCCAGGCAGGAGCCACTGTAAAGCTCACCGCCTGAAGCTGAAAACGGGCACTTGGAAGCTCTTTGCTTTAACAAACATCAGCCTGGGTGGGACCAAGATTTCGATGTAAACTGAATAAACAAATCAATTAATAAACCCATCAACTCCTAATTCAGCCCCACAAGGTTCTTTAGGCAGGACAAGAGACGGCATCTCTGCATCAGCTGTCTGCTGGTTCACTTTAAGACTGTGTATGCAGCGTTCTGCCTGCAGGCCAGAAGAGGGCGCCAGATCTCACTACAGATGTTGTGAGCCACCAGGTGGTTGCTGGGAATTGAACCGGGGACCCCTAGAAGGGCAGCCAGTGTGCTTAACCTCTGCACCACCTCTCCAGTCCCTTCTTTACTTTCGATCACCTGTTTATTTCTACACGCAGGCATGCTAATCATTCATTCAGTGAGGAGCTATCACGTCTGTCTTATCCCTGTCGGCGCTGAAAGCCCAGACATCGCCCAGTGGACACCCCCCAAGCCCATCAGGTGAGGGCAACTGTGCACGGGTGGTATGGCGCTCACTGGAGCAGAAGCGGCCATCTTCTGGGAATCCAACTGGCCCTTTCAAGGGGTGACAGTGAGCAGGACTTCCTTGGAGCGAGAACACGCTCGCCACAGCACCCTTTCAGGACTGCTCGACCAGCCAATCCCGCAGTCCCCCATTTAACCTAAGCCTCACAGAACTGCTCTGTAAGCTTGTTCTTCTAACTGGGCCACGCTAACTAGACCTCTTTATCAGTCCCCGACTTCTTGACTGTTGTATTGGTAGGAACAGCGGAGCCGCTTCTTTCTCCCGGAATTTCTCCAGCACGCACGAATCAGCTCACTGTGCTGGGTGATGAGATGCCTATCATTACAGAGCAGTCATGATGGCGCACACCTGTAATCCCAGCACTCGGGGGGCAGAGCCAGGGGACTGTCACAAGTTCCAGGACACCCGCTCTACTCGGAGTTCCCGGCCACCTTGTACCTTAGAGTGAGACCATTTCAAAATAAATAGACATCTAGATATATGATAAGCTAATGCATCGCCTCCAGCTACTCTCCACTTCTTAAGGTTTATCAAACATGGTGACATATGCCTTTAATCCCAGTGCGTGGGAGGAAGAGGCTAGCCAGGACAGCATAGTGAGACCGTGTCTTTGGTTGGTTGGTTGGTTGGTTTTTCAAGACAGGGCTTCTCTGTTTAGCCCTAGAACTCACTCTGTAGACCAGGCTGTTCTTGGACTCAGAGACCCACCTGCCTCCGTCTCCCATGTGCTGGTACTTAAGGTGTGGGCCACCACACCTGGTGAGACTATCTTAAAATGAAACAAACAAATCAACAAAACCCCTAAAGAGCAAAAAGAGAAAGTGCTTATGGGTCAGGCACAAAACACTTATGCTCAAAGCGGAAACCGTAAGTGTAGATCAGGTTGATGCTTCTCTGAGTTAGGCAAACATTTTAGGGTGAGGCCTTTTCGATGAGTTCTCCAAATAAGTAAACTTGGAGAAGAGAAGGTCCGGGACCTCTGTCAGGGCAACAGCGGAGGCAGGGAAGCAAAGGCGCACGGTCTGACGCCAGGGGAGAATGATCTGAGGTCGTATCCGGGAGGGCTTGGATGGGAAAGCGCAGAAAGGCACTGTGAAGCTAGGCCAAAGGCTGCTGTCCTGGAGCCTTCAGTAACTTCCGCGAGGGGCTGGAGCCAGGACGGGATGTTCTACACAGAGGTGAGTACGGCCTGTGTGGCCTTCTTGGGGCTCAGCAGGTGTCCGCCTTGGACACCCGCTGGGGTGCCTCAGCCAGCCGCCCTGAGCGGGCTTCAGAGGCGCACAGTGCAGGCTGCTGCCCACCACCGACCTCTGCCGGCCTCGCTGGAGTTTTGCCCTGCGCCCCACCCACATCATTTAATCAATGCCGGTGCTGCTTCTTTACATACAAACAAGCGACTGAACAATGACAAACGATAATGAAGAAAGCCCTGGACTGCCAGTTCAACCTACCTGAGTCTGGGTTCACCCTGCACCCGGGCCTCTGGGCCTTGGCGCTCCAGCCCTGCGGCCGCTGCGCTCTCCTGGAGCAAATCTGCTGCGCTGTGATCTGTAACTTTTTGGAAACGGCTCACATCTGCTCCCCCGTCCCCCCCCCCATCCCGTCTCTGACACCTGATGAACGTGGGACTTGAACTCTAGCACTGAGCCGTAGCCCAGCCTTCCACGCTTTCATTTCTGTTCGGTTCCTAGCTGTGCTCCGTGCTCCTTGTGTGTAAAAAGCTCCCAGAACCCTCTTGACTTTCCTCGCCCATTAACAGATGAGGACAATAAAGCATGGCCGTCAGGGGGAGACTGCTCTTTACCAGGACCCCAGCCCGCCGAGCCCCAGGCCCCGCGGGGTCCGGCGCGCAGAGGCAGAGGCTCCCGCCGCTCCATCTCCAGTCAGACCTGGCACCCAGCCCCTGTCCTAGAGCTGCCGGGACGTTCACAAACGGCCAGTGACATGCTCAGGAGCCGCCTGGAAGTGCGGATGCGCAACTGCTGCACGCTCGACCTTCGACCCCTCCCACCCCAAACCTGAGCAGGCGTAAACGTAACTAATTGCTCACGCACTAAATGACACAAAACATGGTACTTTTTAAAACATTTATATTTTATATATATATATAAAATTAAATATATAATATATAGTGTGCTCGAGGCTAAAAATATAGTACACAATATTTTTCTTAAAAAAAAAGGAAAAAATGTCAGAATAGGAAAAGGTGTAAAGGACACACAGATACACATTGCTAAAAAATCTATGATGGTTTGTCCTAACAAAAATACTTTTTTTTTTCTTCTCTTAGTTGTCACCATGGATCCACTTATGAGGATTTTGGTAGAGAAAATTCAACCGGCATCAGAAATGCAGCTGGTGATCCCAGGAATGACTGGGGTGGACAGCTGGACCTGGGTGCCCTGCTAAGAGGAGGCAGCTTGGCCTTGTGGGTCACTTTGCTAAGGAGCCTATGGATTTGATTGCATCCACAAACTGAATGCTTCCCTCCCAAGTCCTGTTCTCAGGGCGATGGACAGCTCCTGAAACCAACAGAAAAACCTGGCTACTGCTTCCCAAAGGCCAGTCGTCAGGGCAGTGGATGGACTGGGAAGGGCAGCTCTGTGCACGCAAAGCTGTCAGCAGAGTTAAGAGCGAGCTTGACCAGGGCTTCCTAGTATGACCTGTGTTTTGGGCAAGTTATCTTCCTCTGGGAAAGGGGCTCCCTCCCAGCACTATAGGGAAATGAAATGCTGTACCCTCTCTAATCCACACCCTGCCAAACCACGCTCTTTAGTCCTATCGGCTGGCCCACTGGTGTCAGCGGCAAGCTGTGGACAGTTAGCCAAAACACACTGTCTTCAGGGGAGAGCCACAGGGAGAAGGGAATGCTATGTTTAGGTGACAGTTTTATAGTTCTTTCACAGGTCAGCTGGGCTGTCCTGTGACACTAGGCTCTATAGGTGTAGAGCATGCCTGGGCTCTGAGTCCACAGAAATGGCAGAGCAGGGAGACCAGGTGTTTCGAGCCTGCAGTGGCTTTGGGAACTCATGTAATTCACCCACAGGGACAGAAGTGCTCCCAGCAAGATGAGCAGGTGATCACATCAGTAGACATTATGTATCCAAACAAGGTCTTTGGCTTTAACTGAGTTTCTGTAAATCCCGATGGCCTAAACATTGCCATATAATGGGCCAGTTGTAGAGGGGCCCTGCAATTCCACCTTAGGGGCCCAGGAGCTCCACATGTCAATAGGAGGGGTGTGCCAGCGTGCCCTGTGTCACCCAGAATCATGCTGGCTGAGTTCATCTCTTCCATCTTAACCCAGACATCTGGGAGAGCTGAACATCGCACCCATCCCTGGTTCCTTTCCTTTCCCCCTAAGGTGTTTGCTTCATGCACATTCTGTGGTTGGTTTGGGGAAGCAGGACCTGCAAGCAGGCTGGGCTCTCTACAAAGGGTTGGGCTTATCCAGGGCTACAAGAGCTTCTCCCATATGCAGAGTTTATGTCAAAACCACCAACCTCTTCCTCCCTCTACCAGCTTCCCTTTCAACCGACAGAAGAGGCTCAGCTGCCCCTACTCCTGGTTTCTGGTCTAAGACCGCTGGGGTCACAGGCTTCACCCTGCCTGGCAAACAGGGAGTTGTCACTGGGACAGAAGCCTGTTCCTGAAGACTAAGTGGAAGGCAGCCTTCCTATCTCCCCGTATGTGCTGCGGTCTGTCCACAGGAAACGCACCCTCCCATGACCACAGCAACTGCTGACGCTAAGAGGAGAGCAACGCTGATAGCTTTGTTTCACTCATGTCAGGGCGGCGGGCATCAAGGACTGTGTGGTTAAGAAGCTCCTTCTAGCAGGCCAGGCCTCACTTCCATTGCTGATTGCTCCTGAGGTCTTACGAGGAACAGGCAATCCCCAAATGGGCCTCCCCAGCCAAACACAGGTCATACAGAATAGTTCTAGGCACAGACCAAAAGATGGAGACAATGAAAACCAAGAGGTCAGATCTCGGTAACTCAGAGTGAAAGCTGCAGGGTGGAACCCTGGGTCTCTTGACTCCCGGTTCCTGGTTCCTTCAACTAAAGCAGCAACACTCGGGGCGCTTAGGACCACCAAGTAGCAACATGCTGGAAGACTTTAGCTTCTAATGGGGGAGCAAAGGGGCCTCCAGCTCCCCCATAAGGAATTCCACTGATCTTTCAGCTGGGGCCAGCTCTGATTCTCACTCACTGTGCCTCGCATGGCGCTTGCTACCCACAATTCTCCTGCAGGGCTTGACCTTAGTGATGCTCTTGTTTCCATAGGCAGGACCTACTACTTCAATCAGAGAGAAATAAACGAATCAAGCCAAACCCCAAAGTGACTATTTTAGAGCACACTGCTGTTTAGAACGACACAACTCTGTTTAGACTCCAGAAGTGTTTGGGTCACCATGGTCTCAGGGGTCACTGAAAACCTGCATGTGTTCATCACCACAAGAAGCTGCAGTGTGAGCACTCTGCCCCACTGAGCTCCGTGAAGGGGCTCTGCATGGGGAGTCCTCTGAGCTGGGGCATGGCCACGCGCCTGGCTGTGCCGCACAAAGCACCCGCTCTGTGCGGATACAGCGAGAAGCAGGAGTTGCCTGCCAGGCTGGAGATGGAACTCCCTGATCCCCGGGTCCTCCCTGGTCCTCCTCAGAGGGAGCTAGCTGGGAATGTCACTCCACAGGCCCATCTGGATCAGTGATGGACCGTGGCTGATGAACATGTAACTCATTAAAGTAAACACGACTAATGAATGGTGACCAATGAGAAAAGGCAAGGAGTACTCTGGAATATTGCCTCCCATCACGCAGGCCCCCGTGGGGGTGGACAGTAGACCCCTGCCGGTCTCTTGGGAAGGCGAGGCTGAAACACAGGTTACAGATTCTCTTTGGTCAGCGGTGGAAGCGGGGAGGGGTGTGGAATGTGTGTGGCCGTGTGTGCTTGTGGGTGGGAGGTAACGCGGTCTATGGAATGCAATGCCTACCGTGTTCTGCACTCAGGTCTCCATCCAGGTCACTTCCCGTCCCCTCATCTGCCTCTCCCGGGGTGCTAACGGCACAATCTGAAGCCCACACCTTCCCTGCTCCCCACACAGGGAGCACCACAAACCTGACACTCAAGGCACTGAACACAGAAGAAGGGATCTGACTGATGGGTACAGGGTGGCTGAAATGTGTCTGGATATAGCATCTACTGGCCAACTCCAGGCAGTCTCCAGCTAGGGTGAGGAGTTAGATGGGGTGGGCTAGAACTGGAGGCACGGACACTGCCTAACGCTGTGGGAATCCACCAGCGTGCAGGGCAGGTCTCACCATTTGGGTGTACATAATAGATTGAAAGTGCTTGGAGACTCGGGGTAATAATGCAAGGTGTTAAGAGCCTGGAGGACAGGGCCCCTTTCCTCTCCACAGGGACTTGTATATAGTGGGGGATGCCCCTACAGCTTTTCTTTCTGAGGTTTTTATTGCCTGTGAAAAATAGCCCCATGAAGAGCAGTCTCTACCCCACCCAGCCTCAAGGGTTAATGCCACCCAAGTGGGGCAGAGAACACACAGAAGGACGCTTGTGTGGCTCCCACTAGTGTTGGGTCTGGGAACTGCCATGCAGTACACAGCATGGCCAACCATTCTTCACTCTCACCCAGGACACAGCTGGTCCAGCACAAAGCTGAGAAGAAAAGCAGTGCTACCGGGAATTCTGGAGCCCTCATCACAGAAAGCCGTAGTAGCAGCCAGGGTGACTGGCATTTTTGACCCCAACTGACCAAGGGCTGGATTTGAACTCACTGTCCCACCTGTAATCTCCTGAGATGGGAAGATGAACACAGGTATAAAGAACTCAAGCCGGGGACTGGTGGGCTGTCCCGAATTCCAGCTGCTTGGACTGCAGCCACCTAGGCCAAAGCCTGCCCATCTCAGCGTATCTCCAACCCACTATGGGAGACCAGAGGAGCAGGACAGAAAGGAACCAATAAAATATGCCCTTCTCCTCTTCTCTCCCACCCTCCCCTCACCCCAACCTCCACCTCCCTGTCCCCTTGGGTCAGGTAAGAACAAAGGTCAGAAAAGACATCCTCCTGAGGGAGGAAAGGGCAGGCCCGGGGATGGGGCGTGCACGGAGCGCCATCCTTGGGATGGGGTGTTCCTGGGAGACCCGCTCCTTATTTGTGACGGCAGGAGAAGGAAGGCTGGGTCCAAGAAAGGCGCAGTGAGCGATGTCCCTGAATGTCAGGGAGCAGTGGCAGGCCTTCTCCGCTGGCCGGCGGAGACCCCGGGCCCAGCGCCTACACGTGAGTCTGCATGCGTTGCTGGAAGCGCTGGCCGAAGTCCGAGTGCTGGGAGGTGTAGGAGAACCGCGTGGCCGTGGCGTACTTGCCGATGGGGTCGTAGGCTTCGTAGGGGGTCCTCTCCAGGCCAGAGGGCGGGGCCTGGGGGTAGCCTAGGCGGTAGGTCGGATACCCAGCTGCCCCGGGAAAGGGATGGGAGTTAAACTTCTCGTAGTTCTCGTAGGACAGCTGGCTGGTTGTATCGGTGCCACCTGGAGCAGAGGGGCCAGAGGGTGTGGGCTCTGTGCCATAGTCAGAGGCAGGGGCCCGGCTGTACGTGTTGAGCTGGGCATAGCCACTGGAATGGGAGAGACGGGATGATGGGCGGCCGTCAAAACGGGTGGGGCCGGGGGCTCGGTAGTCCGCATAGAGCACCGCCCTGGAGGACGGGCGGTCTTCGTGAGCGCGCACATTGTAGTAGCCATTGGTGGGATCCTGGGGGTGGAAGCGGAGACTCAGGGAGTTGCCTGCAGTGGAACAGGGCCTCAAATGGCCTTCTGCCCACATCACACCCTTCTGCCCAAGACACCCCATGTCACCCAACAGCACTGTCTTCTGTTCCTCCTGCAGACCTCCTGACCACCCCTCCCCACGCACACCCTCCGTGCCAGCCAGCCAGTGCCCGGGCCTTCCCACCTTCATCTCATACTCTTCCCGGGTGTCGATGGTGTCACAGCGCAGGTCCTGCTTCAGATCCGAGTCATCCTTAAAGGACTAGAGCAGGATCGGGTATCAGGGACAGGCGTGACTTGTGTCTGACGGTCTAGGTTGAGGTAGGGCTCCAGAGGCCTGGCTCTGAGCGTCAAGCTAAGTGTGTAAAATGTCTTGAATATGAAACTGCCTCATCTCAGTAATGAGGAGGTTGAGCCAAAAATATCTACAGATTTCCTCCTATGTGAGGAAAGGATGAGGCAAAGGGAGTTGGAGGGGAGGGGAGAGTAGTACAGTATATACACTGTCCGCACGTGCGTGACAGTGTATATAAGGGAGCTCGCATGGGCGTGCCACTGTACGTACAGATGTGAGTGTCTACCCGTGAGCAGGTTGGGTGGCAGGAACACGTTAAACTCACTGAGGAAGAAGAGGTGACAGGGGATATTAGAACTATCAAAACTGGCCTTGTGTACAGGAAGCGCCCGCTCACCGAGTAGATGGTCTTCATGACCCGAGTGGCCGTGGAGATGCTGGCGGCGTCGTCCTCTCGGTCAGAGTGCATCGTGAGCGGCTCCCGGTTCACCGTCTCCACCTTGATGTCCAGCTTCCTCAAGGTCACGTCCTTTCGACCTAGGACGGGGAGATGCGGCTGGGCCCGGTGCTGCCCACCAGTCTCAGAGGAGCTGGCTTCTAGCCCCACCCCCGGAAGAGACCTGAAGGGTGAGGTCAGGGTGAAGGGTTTGCCGTGGCTGTGCATACTCACTGCCTTTGCGACGTCGGTAGAGGAAGAACACTAAGGTGACAAAGAAGAAGATGACCAGGATGCCAGCGCCGATGGTGGCCCCAGCAATGATGCCCACGGGTACCACCTCTAAAGACGGAGGAGGAAAAGAGCAGGCATGAGGGAGGAGCTGGGCGAGACCTGAAGACTCGCCACAAGATACTGGGGCAGCTCTGGACTGTGTACAAAGCTAAGTTTTGCCTGAGCTGGGTTGTGTTGACATCCAGGCCACACCAGAGAAGATCCGGGCTGAGTCAGGGCTGAAATCTGTGCTTTACTTTAACCAGAGTTGACATCAGGGCAGTTTTCCACCCTTGCTCTCTGCCTCAGAGTTTTCTCTTCCTCTGTTTGGCCCTCCCTCCTGAGCTGGCTTTTGTCTGAAGTCAGCTGTCTCCAATCTCCATGCTATGACCTCTGCTCCAGCCTCCTCTGCCACTGTCTCTGCCTGCAGGGCTGTGAGTGCTGGATCTGCACTATCCATCTGTGGCTCCTCTTCAACGCCCCAACTTCCTTTAGCTGAGGAGATGCCCAAGAATTCTCCCTTTAGCCTTCTCTTTCTCTCTGGAACTACTAGAAGATCTGGTTACAGATCTTTCCCCCTGAGCTTCCTCCTAGCTGAGCCTCCAAATTACCCTTCTCTGTTCCCCATACCCACCCTGCAGGTGTCTTTAACCAAACCTGAACTATTGGCTTTCCTAGGCATTCTCCAAGGGTCCCTCAGGGTCTCCAGATCTCCCTTCTCAATGACTACTTCTCAAAAACAAATGCTATTTTCCTTCATCAAGCACAGCCATCAGAGGCTAGCTGCTTCCTTCATCTTGCCTGAGGTACCTGGAGAGAACATATCTCTTCTACAAAACCAAAGGGGCCTGAAGGGGTAGGGGAAGCTTTGAATTTTACACAGATATCCGTTCCATCCTCTCAAGAACTCCATGGCATAGGTGGTGTTCATCTGCATATGTTGTTCGGTTTTCCCCTGTCTGGATTCATCTGTCTCTGCTATATCTGCCCTTCACTAAGAGGAAAGTTTCCTGTGGGCGGGGAGAGGTTCCGCTCACACTCACGCCTTCCGAGTTGGACGTATAAAGATGTTCAAGGAACTTTTACATAAATTAATTAGCCGACGGACCACTAAAGGCAGCTCCTGGCAGAGAGGCAGGGAGTTATCTTGCTTTGAACCTTGCTATAGAAGAGAAGCTGGAGCCCCAGGCCCTCCTGGGCAGCCAGCACGCTGACCTCTCTCCTCCAGCTGGATGATGGCCGTGCCTGGCCCGAAGCTGTTCCAGGCGGTGCAGTTGTAGTGCGTCTGGAAGTCGGCCTCCATGACGTTGCTGATGGTCAGAGTGGACAGCACGCCGCTGCCCGAATTAGTCCTCTCCACCGTGTATCTCTCCAGGGTCCCCACCTCCAGGAAGTTCTCCTTCCATGCCCACGCCTGGGGTGGGAAAGGCAGGATAGAGGCAAGACATGAGCACGAGGAAGAAGCATATACCCAAGAGACACCTAATCCACTTTCAGGAAGCTTCAGCCCAGCACATGTGCTGTGCCCAGGCCAACAAACCCACACCCCAAAATAACCCAGCTACCCACTACCACACCAACTACTACACAGCCACCACACCGACTGCTACACAGCCACCACAGCAACTACCACACCAACCACCACAGCAACTACCACACCAGCCACCACAGCAACTACCACACCAGCCACCACACCAACTACCACA